CTCTCTTAATTCTCTTATTTATTTTTCATTTTTTAAATTAAGGTATTATATGTGTACATACCTTACCAATGGGCAGGACCTCGAACGTGCTTATGACCCGCAGACTCTGGGCGAAGGGATGTCACTCTCCTGACTGGGTATGTAGAACAGTGACACCATCTGGCCAGCAGATTCCATCTCTTGCTGATTTTGACAAAGCAAACTGCCATGTAAGGAAGTGAGTGCAGCCCCCACCAACATCCAGCAAGCACTGAGGCCCCGTCCAGCCCTCAAGCACCCGCAGCCTGCCATGCGCCGAGTACCATGCGCTGAGCTGGACGTGCCTCCTTCCCTGTTTGAACTTTCATATGAAACCCCAGCCCTTGTAACACCTTGATTGTAGTCTCATGAGAACCTGAGCAAGATCACTCAACTAAGCTGTACCTGGATTTCCAACTCACCGAAACAGAGCTAGTAAATGCCTGTTGTTTGAAGCTAATAAGCTTGGGTATTTGTTACCTAACAATAGATAACGAACACATCCCACAATTTATAGTTCAAGCCTAATCAATCTTTAAGGACCAACCAAAATACCTTAGTATCCTTAGGACTCTGATGCCTGTGTCCCTGCTGATCCATTATGATCAGCGCCATACAAGTCATCTCTCAAACTGCACGGGGCCGTTAACATTCCCTCCCTAACCGGACCCTGTGTCCTTTGCAGGCAGGAGCCACATTGGAGAGCTGTACCTCCTGCATTTGAAGCTCATGTTGCAAGGCAGGAGGTACTCACCGAACACGTTATTAACAGCAATGGCAACTGTTATATTCAACAACCCGTGACAGTGTACACTCACTGCAAGCCTGTCTCACCAAATGTTGAGAGCTGTATCAATAACTATAATTAAAATCTGCCTATAAGAAGAAGTATTTGGTTGTGAAAAAACAAACAACACCCACACACTATTATTTGGGATTCCTTTTATTTTTATTAAAACAATACAAATGGAGTTAGTGACAATGACATTTTTCAGATGTTCTCTAGATAAGACAATAAAACTATAAATCAAAGTATTTTCTTGGCTTTTTTTCCTGAGAAAATCCAAATAATAAGCTTAGTCTTTAATCAACTGACCCTCCCCAAATTTGATTTTTTCTCTAAGCTTGATGTGCTGAACACAGCAAGGACCTGAAGAATCTATGTGTTTATAAAGGCACTTTAGAGTTCCAAGTTCAAGATGGTTTGCAAAGGACACACACACAAGAAGGCTCCGAGCCACTTTCTGTCATTAAAACACGGGGAACATGCATGGAAGAGAAGGAATAAGATGAGCACATGATTACTTGGAAAGAGACAATGAGTCAGTCTACTGTCAGCCAGGCATGGATACTGTCCCTGCATCCCCCACGCTCCCAGAGTCCCCTTCCCTCACGGTTCTGGGACTGAGTGTCCACCAGGAAAGACACTGGCAAGAGACGAGGAAGACGTCAGTCACCGATGGCAGTTAGAACACGTGGCCAGGTGTTGAATTCAGAATAGGGTCTCAGATTGCTCGACAGAACTCTCACCACATGGCTGCAGAATGGAGGCGGGAGGGAGCTATAGGGACCCATGAGAAAAGCAGCGGCTTCCCGAGAATCTTCTGAGAACCACAGCGGTGGAAGAATCAAGCTAAATTTTCAGGGGCTGCTCACTTCTCCCCCCGCTCTACTGAACTATGTCTCAATATTTAGAGTCCCTTAGCCGTGGCTCACACTTGTATGTACCCAGGTGTATGTCTTTCAATTTTTCTGCTTGGCACTTGGTGTGTTCTCTAAATGTCAAAACTTGAGTTTTTGCTTAATCTAGAATTTTTCTTTCTTTTTAAAAAAATATATTTTATTGATTTTTCACAGAAAAGAAGGGAGAGAGATAGAGCTGGAAACATGGATGAGAGAGAAATATCAACCAGCTGCCTCCTGCATGCCCCCTACTGGGGATGTGCCCGCAACCAATGTATAATACATGCTCTTGACTGGAATCGAACATGGGACCTTTCAATCAACAAGTGACGCTCTATCCACAGACTAAAAGTTAAAACCTCCTACTCTTAAGTGTATTTCTATTTTCCATTGAATCTATATAGTATATGCTTTGGGTGTGGGTTGTGAAAATTATTTGTAATTGATATATCATTATTTTTAATTGTGCCCTTTAACAATACATATTTAATGTCTATTGGCTTGAATTATGCCTTGTGCTATCAGGATGATCATTTCTGACTTTTTTGGCTAATCCTCACCTTAGGACAGTTTCTCCATTGATTTTCTAGAAAGTATAGAAAGAGGGGAGGGAGAAGACAGAAACATCGATGTGAGACACATTGGTTGGTTGCTTCCTACACGTGTCCCAACTGAGACTGGTGATCAGCCTGCAACGTATGTGCCCTTGACTGGAATGGAACCCACGATCTTTCAGTCTGTGGCTGACACTAACCACTGAGCAAACCAGCGAGGGCTCCATTTCCTTTTATGTTTAGCTTTTCTGAATCACGAGTTTAGGTTTGTCTCTTGTATCTACACAATGAGCTTATTTGAAGTTTTCCTTCCATATTTTATTAGTATCATCACTTTTTTCTACTTGGTCAGAATAACATTTATATATTTTCTACTTGTCACAGCTTTACTTTCATTAAATATATCCATTACTCCTATTTGTCCTTTTGCTGAAATTTCCCATTATAATTCTTTAAAAGAAAAACTCACTGGAAGATATGTTTATTGATTTTAGAGACTGGCTGCCTCCCATATGCACCGATTAGGGCCTGAACCTTGACCTCCTGGTTCATAGGTCGATGCTCAACCACTGACCCACTCCAGCCTGGCTGAGCTCTAATTGTTTCTATAAACATGTTACTTGAAAGATAGCTTTTTTGGATATAAAGTCCTTGATCCACATTCATTTTTTTTGCATTAAATCTCTTCAAAATGCAGCTTCACTTTTGTTTTGCCTTGTATATTGCTGTTGAAATTTTTTTATTTATCTGTGTTTCACTTTCCTTAAGCCTCCCTGTCAGTAAGCAGGGAAATAAAGTGTAAGTATCCTCTACAACGTAATTCAGAGTAGGTGTGGCTGTGGATGGCTTTATCTGTGGCTTCATGAGGAGAGTTTGGATGGAGATAATCAGCATGCTCAAACACCTCTACTTTGGGAACTAAGGTTTTACGTCCACAGGAAGATGGCATCAGGCCCACATATCAGAAGATTTTGTTTCTCTCACAGGTGTGAAGCAGCACCTTTCCCACCCACATTACAGGACTGGACTGCCTCTCACACCTGGTGGCACGTCACCGCCGGCCGCGCACAGCGGGCAGCGCAGCGGGCTGCTCTCTGTCCGGTTCCCGGAGCGCACCTCACTGCGGGCACAGGAAGGCCAGCGCGTGAGCCAGCCCTGGGCCTGTGCCCCTGTGCGCCCGTCGCAGCCGCCCCTCTCTCAGCACTCTGCCTCGCTGACATTTTTTGGTATTTACATTACTGGATTGTAGTCATTTTACAGAAATAATTAAAAACATTATTTTCGTTTAAAATGTTGGCATTTTTTTGAGGATTGAAGTTAAATAATGTGCTCTACCATCTTACTCGGGAATTTACAATCACTTTTTAGAAGTAGCAATAAACACAGCTGTTACAATTTTGACTTGTAAAGTATAAAGCCGTTTAGAAGTTCCTATCCTCACCATTTACAAACTAGTGGTTCTTGTACGTTTGTAGTTCTATGTGGCCAAGGCTTAAATGAGGGGAAGCTAGGAGATTTCAGATACATTATTGAAATTATGCAGCACCAAACATCTGACACCACTTTTTACAGTACTAAGAAATTAATATTTTTCTCCTACAAAAATAACATCCTAGATTTATAGAAAAGTAAAATCAAGAGAATGTTCTGTTGAATATATTACATACAAACACAGACTCGTTATCAGGAATGTAACTTTATTTCCGTTAAAAAACAGATTCCCCTGCGAAGAGCCTGCCCCTGTGAGCAGCAGCAGCAGCCACAGGCAAATGGACGAAGCACCTCAAGCAAAACCAGAACCAGGTTTTAAAAAGGTGTTATTTGAAAGGATGGCGAACACAGGTTATAAAAACGACATTTCTACAATTTTATTCCTTCACCGTTAGTAAGATGGAGAAAAGGTGTAATACTTATGCAACATGGATGCCATAACAAACATTCCCACCACCTCACTGGGTTTGCCAAGGGAAAACAGCTGAGGTACAGCTTCATAATTTAATCTTTAGTGCTTTGTATTATTTTTGGATATTTGGAATCAAAAAAAGAAAAGAAAAACTTTCTCATTTTCCTTGGCTGAGAAAAAACCTGTAGTTCCATGTCCCCAGGAATCCATCCAATACATTCTAGAACCCTGAGGCCATGATTCATGTTTTGGGATCAGCACAATAACCCTCTCCCTACGGCAGGTTAGGACCCCACGTAACAAACGGAGACTGACCAGGATCTGGTTTACATTCGCACACAGGAAGTCTCGTGGCTCGTCTCTGGGTAGCGAGGCTGACTGGCTGTCAGACTGGGGAACGGGTTTGTAAAGGGCACGGACGTGTAGAATAACCGCACAGTCTCCCGTGTCAGCCACCGGAGCTCCCCGCAGGCGGCTCCTCCAGGCCGCACGGCCGGCCGCTCCCCGGAAGCCTGAGGAGCGCCCAGTCTCCCCGGAGGGAGGGACGGTAACTGAAGCTCCATTTTTAAACAACAACTACAACAAAAGGAAGAACATAAAATACTGGTATAATGAACATTTAGAAAGCACTGAACGGTATGATCCCATACAGTTGTATGCTTTCACCAGTTTTCCTTAAAAACCACCACCAGTTCCTGGGCTTTTAGATGTGTTTTCTCTGGAAAAATAACCAGCATCCTTCGCACGGTCACGCCGAGGCTGCAGCCACCGTGCCCGGCGCCCCGCGGTGCAGACCTCCGTGTGCGCAGCGGGCTGCGCCGGGCCCGCCCTGAGCCCGCGGACTAGCCCAGGACCGCCTGGGCCACCTCCTTGATCGTGGACGCGGCCTTCTCCAGCTCCTCTTCCGTCTGCTCCACAGTGACCGCCACCCTAATGCTGTGAGAAGAGGAAGGACACAGAACGTCTGCTTTGTGCATCAGCGACCCGAGGCCTGCAGCTGCGCTCACGACAGAGGTGGGGGGCAGGGCCCTGTCCTCCCGCCCCCATATCGGACACCGCTGTCTCGGAGCCCGGGGCTCCTGCCTGACGGTGTCTGTGCTCGCCGTGACCTGGCGGGCTCCGCCCAGGGACGCAGGAAACCTGGTCTTTTACACAAACAACTGCTTCTGCAGCCCCAGACCCCCGGCCAAAGTTCCAATGCCTCCAATGAACGGGCTGTCGCTGCTCCTGTCTGCACGTCAGGAAGTCAGGTGGAAGCTCTACAGTATTTTGCAGGGAGGCAAACATTTTCAAGTTTGCAGGAAACTGAAGACAAATGTCAGCTCCTCAGAGCAGTTCTGCCTACTGCATCGACTGGACACACTTGCTGAGCTGCACTGGCCGGGCATGGAGTCCAGGGCAGGAAGCCACACGGCCCCTGTCCTGGCACTAGTCACCCCTCTGCCGGGGGCAGCGAGGACGGAGGGCAGGGTCCTAAGGGTGCTCGCGAGCTGGGCCAGGGGCCTGCGGCCCAGCAGCCCGTCTCTAGCTCCGTGGACGAGGTTTCCGGGGCGTCTCCACGCTCACTGCCCTTCGCGCTCGGGCTCTGCCTCCCTCCTGCACCGGGGCCGCCAGGCCACATGCTCTACCCCCTTCTAGAAGCCTCCATGCTCACCAGGTCCTCTGCCATATCCCATTTTCTGGGCTCAGCTTCCATGTCAGCTGCTCTCGGAAGCCCTGGCTACTCCTGAGACCTCGCTGACCCCATGCCGTGGCCCTGCGCACCATGCCTCAGGGTCTCCCTCCTGGACGCGGGCAGAGGGGGCCGGGTGCTACACCCACGCTGGCTCCTGCCCTGCGATCCCCTCGCTGTTCCCTCGCACCGCACGCCGGGAGGGGCGGGCATCTGCCATCTCAGTTCGTGGGCCTCAGGCATTTCTCAGTGGTCCTGGGGCTTTTCAGGTAAAATGTGCAAACATCTAGCTTGAAACACACAACAGCTGGTGTGCTCACTGTAATGACGAAATGCTTCCTTGCCCTGTGATAGCCTTTCAGAAACTTCAGACCATGACACGTCACAGACTGAGAGGAGGAACGAAGTGAGGCACACTTCCATGCCCACCAACCTCGGAGGCGGCAGGCACTTCTCTTCTCGCTCCAGGTAGCGCGCCTGCGTGAGGGCGATGCTCCGCTCCAGGCACTGCGGGAAGAGGCGGGAGAGGCAGTCGGCCACGGCAGGCCCGGCACCCTGCGGCAGGGCCACGGCTGGGGACCGGTGAGAGCAGCGAGGACTCGGAGCCGGCCACCACGCCAGAGACCTCACTGGCATGTGAACGGCCTCAGCCGCGGGCAGGCGTTTCAGACAGAGCAGAGCTGGGACGTGGGCCACGCCGGCAAAGCCCGCAGGCGGCCACAAGCCGGGCGGGGCCGGGCGCCAGCAGAGCGTCGAGGAAGAGCTGGGGGCTCGGCTGCCTGAGCGCCGCTCTCCCAGGCCCCGCCAGCGCCGGCAGGTGCGCCTGGACATCCTCCATCCACCACGGCGGAACCACCAGGGGAAGGGAGCGAGTTACCGTGGTTTCTCCTCGGGGGTGGCGACAGCGTTCGGGGTCGAGTCACACTTATAAAAAGGACACGTGGTGGCCCAAGGAGTCAGCCCTGTGCGTGGCGGCCAGGCAGCCGCTGGAGGGCATTCTGCAAGTGGCAGGGCGGGTTCCGAGAGGCAAGGACGGGCACCAGGGATGGCACGGGCTGATCTGCATCCAGAAGTGGATGCCGGCCTGGCTGCCCCAGCCTGGCTAGTAAGAAGCATCCAACACCCTGGGTGTACAGACAGCGTTCTGTCAAGCAACCAGACAAACCCTTTCAGTTCTACAAAGCTAAGGCTCACAGCTCTGATTCTCCCACCCCTCAGGCATGGGAAGCGAGGGGAGGGGCACCACGGGCTCCGAGGTGGACCTGTAGCGAGGCACCCACGGGAGAGCTCTCCCCACCTCCCACATGTGCGTGGCAGACCGTGCTGCCGAGCCTGCCCCGCTCACTGGGCCGGCAGGCTCTGCTAGAGGGTGATCTCACCCCCCGCCCCGGCCCGTCTTGTCTCTGCAGGGACAGCGATACACTGTGCTGCTGTGCAGTGCGATGCACAGCTGGAGCTGGGCTCTGGCCCGGACCCGAGGGAAGGACTGTGTGTGTCTCTCACACACACACACACACACACACACACACACACACACGCACGCAAAGACGGGCACCATGAACCCCAACGCAGCGGCCGCTCCTGCCCAGGAAGGCCCTGTGACTACACTGCCCGCCTGGCTTGTCCCTTCAGCTGGTGTGTCAGCGAGAACCTGCTTTGGTATCACGTCTGTATAAACGCAGATCTGGAGGGTGCTGTCACTCCCCACTCACAAAAACACCGAGGCAGTAACTGGCTGACAGGGTGCTGGTCCCTTAAGAGCCTGTCTTTTTCATGTCTGCAGAGCTGTCTGACCAGAGGGGACAGACGTGCACTGCCTCCTCAGCAAGGTGAGAGCACCCAGCTCCCTCAGGGACCCTGTGGCGGTGACTGTAAGAGGACTGTCCCGATGGCCAGACTGCAGGGAGCGGCCCCGGAGCCTGTGGTTCCAGGCGAGGTGGTGCACAGTGAGGACACAGGGCATCTGAGCAAGCTGAGCCAGAGCACACACGGGGCCCGTCCTGAGCAGCCCCACGGCAGCCGCAGCCATCACACTGCGACGCGGGCGGAGGCACAGCGTGCAGCCGTCTCACTCCCGCGTGCTCCGAAGGACGGGCAGGCGGGCGGGCTCCGGAGCCGCAGGCCCTGGCACTTCTGGGGGAGCAGCATGCAGGGGTGTGGGGCTGGGGGCCGCTGAGCAGCAAGGGGCCAGTGTCTTCCCTGGGGTGCTCTCGGCTGCTGGCCGGTGACGGCGGGAACTGACCCTCAGACAGCCTGGCCGGGCTGCGAAGCGCTCCGTTTAAGGCCCCGCGCCTGACCCTCTGCTGGGATTCGCCGACAGCCGGCTGTCCAGGCCGCCGGGCCAGACACACCGTGTGGCCCCCCCGCGGGTAAGGGAGCCCGGTGGTGTGCCTGGCAAGGGTTTTCTGGAAGGTTACTCAGTAGAAGAAGAGTATTTTCATGTGAACACCATGTGGCCCAGAACACAGCGCCCTCAGCGCAAGCTGGAACCACTCGCTGCGTGAGCTGTCCCCGTCACACATGCCAGACTCCACTGGGCACGAGCACCATTCCGTGAGGGGCCACGCACTCCCATCCCCCCCCCCCGCCCCGGGCACAGAGGGTGAGCGAGGGGCCACACACTCCCATCCCCCCCGCCCCCTGCCCCGGGCACAGAGGGTGAGCGAGGGGCCACGCACTCCCATCCCCCCCCCCGCCCCGGGCACAGAGGGTGAGTGAGGGGCCACGCACTCCCATCCCCCCCCGCCCGGGCACAGAGGGTGAGTGAGGGGCCACGCACTCCCCCCCCCCGCCCCGGGCACAGAGGGTGAGTGAGGGGCCACGCACTTCCATCCCCCCCCCCCGCCCCGGGCACAGAGGGTGAGCGAGGGGCCACGCACTCCCATCCCCCCCCCAGGCACAGAGGGTGAGTGAGGGGCCACGCACTCCCATCCCCCCCCCCCGCCCCGGGCACAGAGGGTGAGCGAGGGGCCACGCACTCCCATCCCCCCCCCCAGGCACAGAGGGTGAGTGAGGGGCCACGCACTCCCATCCCCCCCCCCGCCCCGGGCACAGAGGGTGAGTGAGGGGCCACGCACTCCCATCCCCCCCCCCCGCCCCGGGCACAGAGGGTGAGCGAGGGGCCACGCACTCCCATCCCCCCCCCCAGGCACAGAGGGTGAGTGAGGGGCCACGCACTCCCATCCCCCCCCCCGCCCCGGGCACAGAGGGTGAGTGAGGGGCCACGCACTCCCATCCCCCCCCCCCGCCCCGGGCACAGAGGGTGAGTGAGGGGCCACGTACTCCCATCCCCCCCGCCCCGGGCACAGAGGGTGAGTGAGGGGCCACGCACTCCCATCCCCCCGCCCCGGGCACAGAGGGTGAGTGAGGGGCCACGCACTCCCATCCCCCCGCCCCGGGCACAGAGGGTGAGTGAGGGGCCACGCACTCCCATCCCCCCGCCCCGGGCACAGAGGGTGAGTGAGGGGCCACGCACTCCCATCCCCCCCCCCGCCCCGGGCACAGAGGGTGAGTGAGGGGCCACGCACTCCCATCCCCCCCCGCCCCGGGCACAGAGGGTGAGTGAGGGGCCACGCACTCCCATCCCCCCCCCAGGCACAGAGGGTGAGTGAGGGGCCACGCACTCCCATCCCCCCCCGCCCGGGCACAGAGGGTGAGTGAGGGGCCACGCACTCCCCCCCCCCGCCCCGGGCACAGAGGGTGAATGAGGGGCCACGCACTCCCATCCCCCCCCCCCCCGCCCCGGGCACAGAGGGTGAGTGAGGGGCCACGCACTCCCATCCCCCCCCCAGGCACAGAGGGTGAGTGAGGGGCCACGCACTCCCATCCCCCCCCGCCCGGGCACAGAGGGTGAGTGAGGGGCCACGCACTCCCCCCCCCCCCGCCCCGGGCACAGAGGGTGAATGAGGGGCCACGCACTCCCATCCCCCCCCCCCGCCCCGGGCACAGAGGGTGAGTGAGGGGCCACGTACTCCCATCCCCCCGCCCGCCCCGGGCACAGAGGGTGAGTGAGGGGCCACGCACTCCCATCCCCCCCCCGCCCCGGGCACAGAGGGTGAGTGAGGGGCCACGCACTCCCATCCCCCCCCCGCCCCGGGCACAGAGGGTGAGTGAGGGGCCCCCCGCCCCGGGCACAGAGGGTGAGTGAGGGGCCCCCCGCCCCGGGCACAGAGGGTGAGTGAGGGGCCCCCCGCCCCGGGCACAGAGGGTGAGTGAGGGGCCCCCCGCCCCGGGCACAGAGGGTGAGTGAGGGGCCCCCCGCCCCGGGCACAGAGGGTGAGTGAGGGGCCCCCCGCCCCGGGCACAGAGGGTGAGTGAGGGGCCCCCCGCCCCGGGCACAGAGGGTGAGTGAGGGACCCCCCGCCCCGGGCACAGAGGGTGAGTGAGGGGCCACACACTCCCATCCCTCCTGCCCCGGGCACAGAGGGTGAGTGAGGGGCCCCCCGCCCCGGGCACAGAGGGTGAGTGAGGGACCCCCCGCTCCGGGCACAGAGGGTGAGTGAGGGGCCACGCGCTCCCATGCCCCGGCCCGGGCACAGAGAGCGGTGAAATGACCGAGAAGGCTGCTCGGTCAGGGTGGCGTGGGGCAAGCAGAAGCGCTGGGAGGGCTGGCACTCACCTGCCGGACGATCTCCTGCAACAGCTGGGCGTCCTGCTCGCGGGACCCAGTGCTGGCCTCCAGCTGCAGGTGGAAGGCGGGGGACAGGGCCTCCCCGACCACTCTCAGGCCAGAGATGCTGGAGGGGAGAGGGGCAGTCAGAGCGCCCTGCCGGCTGGGCGTCTCCACACACATCACTGCACACAGCCTGCATTAGCACACGCCACTCACACTTCCCAGGGGTATTCGGAGGCGGGACTCTGGTTCTGGCCAGTCACATGCACGGCTGCTGGGTCACATGCCACAGGCTCGGGTGGCCCCTCCAGGTCCTCAGCCCCTGGGCCTCTGCCCTGCTGTTTCCTCTCCTCACCTGCTCTCTCCCACCCTCTGGTGGCCAGTGCTGGTTGCACCTGGTCTCAGCTGTCACTTCCACTGCAGGGAGGGGCTGCACCATCATGCTCCACAGCAAGCATATCAAACTGTGATCCATGGCCCACATGCAGCCCACAACGAATATTTTTGTGGCCCAGTCAACATAACACTATGTAAGAAGGTTTTAATAAAAAATTTTTAACTTAGTTTTTCCAAAATCCTGTTATACATAATCCTATATAATGAGGTGATATGCAAATTGACCATCACTCCAACGCACAAGATTGCCACCCCATGTGGTCAAAGATGGCCGCTTCCATGTGGACACAAGATGGCTGCCACAAGATGATGGCTGCCACAAGATGGCTGCCACAAGATGGCCAGCAGAGGAGGGTAGTTTGGGGTGACTTGGCCGGCAGAGGGCAGTTGGGGGCAACCAGGCTTGCTGGGGAGGGCAGTTATGCTGACTGGGCCAGCAGGGGAGGACAGTTAGGGGTGACCAGGCCAGTAGGGGAGGGCAGTTAGAGGCAAACGGGCCAGCATGGGAGGGCAGTTGGGGTGATCAGGCTGGCAAAAGAGGGCAGTTACGTGTGACTGGGCCAGCAGGGGAGGGCAGTTGGGGTGATCAGGCTGGCAAAAGAGGGTAGTTGGGGGCAACCAGGCCTCTAGGGGAGCAGTTAGTCGTCAATCACGCTGGCAGGGGAGTGGGTATGAGGTGATTAGGTTGGTAGGCAGAAGCAGTTAGGGGCAATCAGGCAGGCAGGCAGGGAAGCGGTTGGGAGCCAGCAGTCCTGGTGGGATTGGGCCTAAACGGGCAGCTGGACATCCCTCAAGGGGTCCCAGACTGGAGATGGTGCAGGCTGGGCTGAGGGACACCCCTCCTTCCCATCCCGTGTGCATGAATTTCGTGCACCAGGCCTCTAGTTATTAATAACGAACTACAATGTTCACTAATGACTGATTATAAATCGTGTTGTGTTCATTTCCCTTACACACTTATGCACAGGTGCACCATTTCTCTCCATTAATACTAGCAGCAAATATTTTAGCAGCCGATGGCCACGTATTAGTCTTAGATTGACTAGTATTAGTTTTAGATTGACTTGTTTGGTGTACGCAACAGGAAATATTTCACTTTCAGAGAGCAAGAAAAATAGATTTGTGTTATGCTTATTAATTTGTACAGTTATTCAGTGTCTGGTTCAAGAAAAAATATTAAATTTTATAAAAATGTTATTTTGTTAATGAGTACTCATTTATTTCAGCCCTTTGTATTCAGTATGTTTCTGTTGAAATAAACATACATTTCTATGAAGATCGAAGCTTTTGTTGTTTTGTGGCCACATAAGCTTACACCTTATTTGGTCCATGGTAGCCTTTGAGTTTGACATGCGCCATCTACACTGCTGTCTCCTTCCCTCCACCGACAGCATCACCACTGGTAACACTGTGTCCTTGCTTATCACCTAACTCTTTAGTCTGTATCTCATAAATTAGAGGAAGAACTGCTGACATTGACAATGGTATAATCTGACTAGCAGCAATGTTTTTGATTAAAAAGTGCCCTTCTTATTTGCATGTTTAATTTTAAATTCTACTTGAGTTAACACTTATGTTCTTCCTTAGGAAACCTAACTCTCAGGGAGAAAGGTTTTAAGGGTGATTTTGATCCATCTCCCAGCACCCAATGGTAATGCATGTTTATGTGACATTAGAGACCTGGTGCATGAACTTCATGGACAGGGAAGGGGGACTTCTCAGCCAGGCCTGCACTCTTGCAATCCAGGATCCCTCGGGGGAAATCCGACTGCTGGTTTAGGCCCCCGAGATCAGGCCTATGCTGGTACTTGGACATCCCTCTTGCAATTCGGGACTGCTGGCTCCTAACCGCTTGCCTGCCTGATTGCCCCTAACCACTCTGCCTGCCTGCCTGATCACCCATTTGCCTGCCTGCCTGATAGCCCCTAACCACTTTGCCTGCCTGATTGCCCCAACTGCCTCTGCCTCAGCCCCCACTGCTGCTGTCAGGAAGGAGGTCTGGAATGACAGCCAGAAGGTCATTCAGCTATCTGGTCTAATTAGTATATTACGTTTTTATTATTATAGATCAGGCTAAGCACCTTGGATTGCTGTTTTATTTTGTTTCACCCCAAAAGTCTTATCCTTCCCCCAGAAAAAAGTGAGCACAGAAAGCGCCTGTAGCATGCCTGATTCCTTAGATAGATTAGGACTCCACAACTTTTACTAATAACCTGTCAACTGCACGCCAAGCAGCATGTGTCCTGCTGGAAGGAACCTTGCTGGCCTCAAACCTCCCTGCACATTATTTAGCTGTCTCCTTTCTTTGAATATCACGTGCCATGCTATGACCTCTCAAATCCATATCCTATGTAAACTCCAGATGTGTTAAACTTGCACATAAGAATGTACCAACTGTCTTTAGGTCACGTACTCTCAGGGGAGACTTTAAAAAATTGCTTTCCAAATAGTATTTCATATTAATTAAAAGGCCTGGGCTTTCCGTAATACACACAGGACACTGACAGCCCACCTGAGCCCGTGCTTCAAACAAAGGGGCTCGCTCCCCCAGTGGGTGGGCAGGCTACTGGGAGAAGGAAACGCAATGCCCTCCCTCTGGCCACCAGACTGAAGAGCAGGTGAAAGTGTAATTAAAACCAAATGGACACAGAATTATAGCTTGAGGTCAGAAGCTTAAAAGCTTGTTTCAAGGCCTATTAAACTTTTTAAATAAAATTCTTGAAAGCATATTAGACAAATATTTAAATACTAAGCACTGGCTGGGTGCCAGGACAGAGCAGTCAACCATTCAGATGAGGCCCTTTGCATGTCCCCAGGCTGGGGAGGGCTGGACACAGTGTCTGCTGGAACACAGGCGCTCCTATCCCAGCATCAGACAAGCATGCTGCCTTCTTCCAGGCCAGCCTCTGAGTGAGGAGGAGGAAGAGGAGGGTCACTGATTAGAGGGGACTCACAAAATTACATGAAGTGACCCTGATCACTGCCTTAGATACTGTTTATCTTTACTGGAAAATAGTAAATAAAACCGATAACCTAAATGCAAGAAGCGTCAAAACCGATTTGGCTCAGTGGATAGAGCATCGGCCTGTGGACTGAAAGTCCCAGGTTCGATTCCGGTCAAGGGCATGTACCTTGGTTGCGGGCACATCCCCAGTGGGGGGTGTGCAAGAGGCAGCTGGTCGATGTTTCTCTCTCATCGATATTTCTAACTCTCTATCCCTCTCCCTTCCTCTCTTTAAAAAAATCAATAAAATATATTTAAAAGTAAATAAATAAATGCAAGCAGCAAAAAAAAGGGTAAGAATAAATTCCAACAAGGCAAAAAAAAAAAAAAAAAAAAAAAAAAGAAAGAAAGAAATCGATGGGAAAAAAAAAAGGAAATATGATAAAAAGAGAAACAAAATTAAAAAATAATGAGCAAGGCAAATTTCTAGAAAGTTTACCATAAAAAATGCAAAAGAAAGAAAAATGAAGTATAATGAGGAAATATAATGCAAACACAGAGATAACCACGGACTATACAAAGGCCCAAGGCTGGAGAACCTCGAGGGGAGAGGGGAGCCTGGTCTACACAGTGGCTTCAAAACGCAGGAAGGTGGAAATATTGCTCCATCATTTACTGAGGCTACCAGAACACTGATTCCTGGGTTATATAAGGTTGGTACAAAAAAGATAATAAGACTATTTATTTATTTACCTATTTAAATTATCAGGGTGACATTGGTTAATAAAATTAAATGTTTCAAGCATACAGTTCTATAAAACATCATGTATATATTGTCCTAGAGGCCCGGTGCACAAAATCCGTGCACTGGGTGGGTGCCCCTCAGAGCAGCCGCCCCTCTCACAGCGGGGACGCCCTGCTGACGGCTCAGGCCCGCTCCCTGCAGGGAATGGGCTCAAGCCACAGTCTGGCTGCAGCAGCTCAGAGCATGCCCCCGGGCAGGTGGCGGGTGTGCCTGCCTGCAAACCCCTGGCCTCAGAGCTGGGCGGCGCTGCGGCTGGGGGCGGGCTAGGAGCCCACCCCTAGCTCTGGTGTGTGGTGTGTGTCTGCTGGGGCTGGGGTTGTGCTCTGAGCTGGTTGTGACACAGCCTCCTGAGCTGGTTGTTATGTCCCAGCCTAATTTGCATTTACCTCTTATTAATTAAAGGATTGTTTTCTCTACTCCAAGTCAAGTCTCCTGCTACCACCACTAATCTCCCCTTTACTCCCTTCTACCTACCCCCGCCCCCTTTCCCTCTGTCACTTTGCTGATGTCTGTGTCCATGGGTCTTTCCATTTTTTTTTTTTTTTTTGCTTAACCCCTTCACCCTTCTCACCTGGTCCCCTATTCCCTACCCCTTGACAGCTGTCAGTCTGTACTCTGTACCTATAATTTGATAAAGGTCACACTTCAAAACCCTATTGTATGATGTTTTATACTGAATAAAAACTTTTATATTGGGAATGAGAAGGATGTTTGCTACGACTGCATGTTCAGTAGACTATTAGAGAGCAATGCAATAAAAGAAGAAAAATAATGAAAATTATTTAAGGATTAAGAAGGAAGAGAAAAACATTAGAGCAGATAATGGGATTTCTATGTGCATATCACAACAGACTGAAAAGAACTATTGGAATGTACGATCAGTTAGAGAATGTAAGATTAGTTTAGAGAAAACAAGAACATTCTCGTAAGTCAGCAAAAACCAGAAAAGATAGCCCTGGCCGGTTGGCTCAGTGGATAGTGTGTCAGCCTGCTGACTGAAGGGTCCCAGGTTCGATTCCAGTCAAGGGCATGTACCTTGGTTGCAGGCTCCTCCTGGCCTGGGCCCTGGTCAGGGTGTGTGCAGGAGGCAGCCAATCGACGTGTTTCTCTCACATAGATATTTCTCTCTGTCTTTCCCTCTCTCTTCCACTTTCTAAAAATCAATGGAAAAGTATTTTCAGGTGAGAATTAAGAAGAAAATATAAAAGAAAAAACAATCCTATTCATAATAGAAATAAAACCTATAGGGTACCTACAAATAACCTTTAAAGGCCCATACAAGAGCTTTAGAGAAAAATTTTAAATTTCCCTTAAAGACACAAAGGAAAATTCAAACAAGTGGATACAAATTCACTCCACATTCATCAAAACATTTAATGCAATTACAATTAAAGTGTTAGTAATATTTTTGGTGAAATTTGAACTTATCGCAAAACTTATATGGTGATCTGTGCTCATTTTGGCAGCACATGTGCAAAAAGCCATAGATGATAAAAACAGATGGCATTTAAAACAATCTAAGAATTGAACAAGTAAACCAATGAAGGAGAAAAACGGCTAAAAGCCAGATCCAGCTGCAGCTGGGAAAGTGGTATGTGACAGAGACCAGCCGGTGAAGAAAGGAGGTGGTGTTTTCATAAACGGACTGTGCTAACATCAGAACAGACCTCCTTCCCTTCACTCGTTTTCTTCCCCCAGGCACCATCCTCTTTCTGAACAGCCCAGCTCCGCAAAACTGTCATGCCACTGTCCCACCTCTCCTTCCTGGTCTCTCCGGACCTGCTTCTGCTGCTCCCGACACTGCTCAGCCTCAGGAGGGGACAGGCACACTCGCAGCAGCAGGACACGTGGCCGCTCCCCTGTCTTCACTAGACTCCCCTCCTTCCTCACTCTCCTGGCTCCTGACCGCTTCAAACAGAAATGCCGGAAATACTGTTTACATGCAATTGACCCGAGGCCTCTCCCTTCAACTTGAGCGGCTACATCTCCCAGACGCCTGATGGCGTTCTGAGCTTAACACAGCCACAGTGCCCGTGCCCAGCACACTGGCCCCGCACTTCTAACCAGCTTGCCGACTAGCAACTGTCTAGTCACTCAGACCAGAAACCTTAAGCTCAAGCTTGCCCCTTCTCTCTCTCACTCACTGGAATATGAACTTCTGGCATTTTAAATCCAGCTTCAAACTCCATCCAAACTCCACTCTGGTAGGAAAGGCAAAGTCACCACACCACCTCCTCACTGGTCTCCTGGCCGCAGCACTTGCCACCAGCTATTATCTACTTCTTCCCTCAGCACAAGAGTGGCTTTGCTGAGATGCCCTTCAGTCATGTCCTGCCACCTATCGGAGCCGGGCTCCTGCACGGCCGCTGAGCCCTGCATGCTCTGGCCTTTCTCCCCTCTTGCCACACCGGCGTCCTCGCTGTTTTGTCTCCTGTCACCTCTAAATACCGGGTACCTGTGTGATGCTCCCACACCTGCCTTACTGCGGGTCGGTCTGAGGCAACTGTGGAGTCCCCCACGCAGAACTACTCAGTGATAAGCCCTGGACGTGAGACCTGGAGCCCTAAAGAGGGGGACACATTGGAGATGCAAAGCTGGGAGCTGCCCACAGAGGGGTCGCGATGGGACTCCAGGAGGGAAGAACACAGTCCTCCAAGGAGGAGCCGGAGAAAAGGGGCACAGAGGCTGTTGGATGCAGCAACAAGGCAGTGAGCGTGGCCTCCACAGGCACCGTCTGGGAGAAGCATGAGAGCAGAGGCAGACTCAGGAGTTTCCAGTGCAGACGAGGGGCAAGGAAGTGGAGAAGGTGAGCTCCGGAGAAGCGGAGCGGGCTAGCTGCGGAGGTGAAGGGAGTCAGGGAGAGGAATGCACACCCAGAGAGGACAGTGTAGCTGAGTGCTCATCACACGACTCAGGTCGGGGAGACCCATGACACAGAGGAGGCACCACCAAAGCCGCCCCATCTTCAGAAGAGAGCTGTGACATTGCTTTGGCTATTAACACGAGGGGAGACGGTTCAGAAGTGCACAGGTTTGTTAGGAGACGAGGGAGTTCCAGGGAGAGCAGGAGGCGAGGCTGCAGCTCAGCGCAGACGGACAGACAGAGGGTTAAACACACGGAGAGATTAAAGGTGGCGAGGGCTGGGGAAAGTGGATGCCAGCCGTGCAAACCAAGCACAGCACCCTGCGGCAGCGGGGCACCTGCTCCTGGCTGACGGCGGCGCACGGCGGGCTGTGCGTACGGTCACAGGCCGTCACCCGCGTGCCTGGAAGCGTCCACCCCGTGCCTCCCCACCGTACGTGAGGCAGGAATGCCGGGTGCTCAGGCAGACACACCCAGACTGGATCACTTCTGCCCTCCTCTACCGGCACAGCTGTGAGCTGCCCGCGCTTCACCTGCCTTTTCTTTTACAAAAGTTTCTAGTTTCCACATCTGGCAACAGAGAGGCCTCCCATCACCAAAGGGCAGGCTTCACCTTAGAAAAGGCAGAAATGCCTGCCCCGGCCTGTGAGATCGTTTTCGGTAAGACCAGAGAACCGCCTGAAACTCACCGGCCTCCACTCTCTCACTTGAGGAATCTTGAAGTTCTCTCGTGTCGTGAAAACAAACAAACCACTCATCAGGTCCGCTCCAATGCCCCTGGGTTCTTTCTCTCACAGTAGCTTGGAATACAACTCAGTGACCCTAAGGCCCGTGGACAGTCCGTGAGTCACCAGTGAGCAGCACGTGCGGCCTCTTGCTCCTGCAGGCATGGCGTGCCGAGCGCATGCTGACCGTTCTGGTGGCTGCACGCTAGGCTGCATGCGCTGTTTTGATCTTGTGCACTGATAGCATACTCTATTATTGAGCGTCTATCACTCTAGAAGAACAATCATGATTCCTTAACATAACAACACAGCGGCTGCTCTGGTTTCATACAGACAGACAGACAGACAAATCTGAGGGAACTGAGGTTTTGGTTTCTTAGTTGCAATTCAGTCAAACTGACCCGAGCCTATCAAATATACCCAAACTAAAGAGACGACATTGAACATTTTCATTAACCGTTTATATGTGGAGAAGGTAAACTTTAAGCTGGCTGAAACACAGAAAACTTACCCTTGTAAAGCTTTATGAATTCGTTTGCACTTTTCCTTCAACACTGCAAAAATACCTGGTGAAAAAAACATTCTTTAGTGCAGTTGACCCTTGGACAATGCAAGGTTTAGAAAATCTGAGTTAAGAATTTTTATTATATATATATTTTACTTCATTTCAGAGAGAGAGAGAGAGAGAGAGAGAGAGAGAGAGAGAGAGAAAGAAACATCAATGATGAGAGAGAATCATTGATTGGCTGCCTCCTGCACACCCTACCCTCACCAAGAATCAAGTCCACAACCCGGGCATGTGCCCTGACTGGAAATCAAACCTTAACCTCTTGGTTCATAGACTGACACTCAACCATTGAGCCACACTGGCCAGGCTGAGTTTAACTTCTGACTTTTAAAAACTTAAGTTGTCCCTCGGCATTTGTGGGAATACCAAAATCCGCAGATGCGTATGACATGGCACAGATCAATGCACACAGTAGGACCTCAGCATCCTCAAATCAATGGAAGATGGTGCAGGTGTTTATTGAAAAACATTGCATATACATAGACCTAGGAAGTTCAAACCCGTGCTGTCTAAGGGTCAAATACATATTTGGAAAACCTGGTATTACTAATCCAAAAATATTTTTTGAAGATCCATTTCAAGCCCTAGTCAGTTTGGCTCAGTGAATAGAGCGTCAGCTTGCGGACTGAAGGGTCCCAGGTTTGATTCTAGCACAAGATTGGGTTGTGGGCTTGATTCCCAGTGAGGGGCATGCAGGAGGCAGCCAATCAATGATTCTCTCTCATCATTGATGTTTCTACCTCTCTCTCTCTCTCCCTTCCTCTCTGAAATCAATAAAGGACATATATATATATATATATATATATATATATATATATTTTTTTTTTTTTTTTTTTTTTTTTTTTCCCATTTCAAGTTCATCAATTTAAAATGCTGCAAATCCTTCCATATACTGACAACACACAGACAGGCGGCCAGAAATGCTTCTGGAGGCCCAAGATTTCATCTTGGCACACACTGATACCTCTCCATCCTTTTTAGCAAATCTGGGATGACGTTTTCCACAGCAAAACGATGGCTCTTGTTATCAAAATTCTACAAGTAATTTGGGTAATGATAAAAGGGTACCAAGACATTTGTTACAGAAATATCAAACTGGTAAACAATCTGGTAAAAAATAGAGGCTGCATGTAATAATGTTTATAATCTTTTCCTTGATATTTTCCATTTCCTCAAGAAAAAAATTGAAAATCTAAACTATCCGAGCAGGAGGCTGGAGGGCCAAGCCACCTGCCAGGCAGGTGTGGAAAGTACCCAGAAAATACTCATGGTGCCCTATTCTCTGAAATAAAAACCAAAGTTGAAAATTTAGAAACTTAGAAAATTTGAGATTCAAGTAATACCAGGTTATGCCTATTTCTCAAATTCTGTTTCAGGCTCTGATGAGGAAGCTCTATCACAGCCAAAGCCACATTTTAAATTCAGTTGATTTTAATGGTCGTAAACTAGATACCAACTAATTTCTAAAAAAAAAGAAAGAAACTAACGCCACTGGCCAGCACCATGCCCGCCCGCCCGCCCGCCCGGAAGCAGCGCTCTGCTCCAGCTCAGCTCCAGGACGCAGACGCCGGAGGCGCTGTCTGCTCCGCGCTGCAGCCAGGCGGAGAGTGAGACTCAGCCCAGAGCTGTCGGCACATCGTCTCCTCTAGCTAATTCCTCCAAAACGTGCAGGGGGCCATGGCTAATGTAACCTGCAGCCTGACTTCCTGGGTAGGAAGATTGTACCTGGATTCTCCTCCATGATGTTGAGGGCCTCAATGGCAGCAGCAGCTAACAAGGGCGGCAACGAGGCAGAGAAACAGTATCCCTGACCGGAAAGGCGCTGAGAAGAAACAAGTTAAAAACATAAATACCCACCCCCTCCTTCCTCTCCCCTTTACCCCTTCCTTCCACTGTCTCTAAACATCAATGGAGAAAATAACCTCAGATGAGGATTAACAAAACAAAACAATTGTGATGAACTCTGCGTGGAATTTTGTTCCCTGCAAGTCACTCTGCGGTGACCCCGGAGCTGGAGCCTGTCTTGGAGAGCACCTACCTGGTGGTCGATTACGAAAGAGCGGCCACAGCAGAAGCCCCCAATGGAAGCAAGTGCGTTCTCCATGTTGGCACTGATGAGATCAATATCATCGATCTGCCAGAAAAGAGGGACCTTGTCAATTACTCCCCAATTAAAACCAGACCAATTTCAAGCCTAGAGACCTATCAGCACTGATCATGCCAACACCTGGGCTCTACAAGCTACGCATGTGAAAACAGAGGCGAACACACAACCTGTCACTGAAAGAACAGATGTTCAAAGCACTCCCGCAGGCACCTCACTTTATCCCTGTGCCACTTCATCATCGGGAACAATTTATACACGACGTGAGGCAGATGCAACTGTCTCTGGAGCAGACACGGAACCGATCCAAAGCTACCGTGTGAACCCAGCACAGACCGATGTGCCGTGAGCGGGCGCCTGCAGGGACCGGCCCTCGGGGCTCTGTGAGGAGACAGACACCAGAGCGGCGGTGCTGCCAGGCAAGCACTGCCTGAGCCTGAACCTGCCCAGCAGGATGGGACTGCGAGTTTCCAGTGTGAGGCATGTTCCAAAAACTGAGAACTTACATTGATTCCAAAATGCTCAGTGACTCCTCGGCCATGCTCCCCCAGCACTCCAAACGAAAGGCTCTCCTCCAGAAAGATCCTGGCTTTGTACTTGTATTTTAACTGAACCTAAATGTGAATAAGAAGGAGCTTTACAAGTCTGATCAGGAAGAACAAATTACCCTAACATGACAAAGAGAAAACGCAGTAGCCGCTCCTCAGCACAGGCGGATTCTTATCTGGGACTGCCCACTTACTGAATGGAGCTGGAACCCAACACAGTCCTCAGCCCAGGACAGGCACCTGGCAGCGGGGCCAGCTGCGCTGCACAGGAGCGCTTCAGCGCACAGTAAGCACGTGCTCTTTGCACAGTCTATTCATGGCCATATTTCCCTTTGTCTTGTGTTTCTGTTGGTGACCCTGCTGTCTAAGTGGTCCCTGGTGTAGTGCTGAGTGCTGTTCTTACGCGAGAGGCTGTGAAGAGCCTTGCGGAGAAAACACGTGAGCTAGACGAGTTTCCTGCAGGTGGGAGTCACAGCGCTGTCGGCTGTGAGCTCATCGCTGGTGAATCAACACTATCAATCAAAGAGGGTGTCTTTAAACAGCATACTCAACATGAGGCTGTGACTCAAGGACTCAGGAGAGGGTGGTGACTCGCTGAAAACTACCTGTGTCTGCCCAGGAGCACCAGCTCAGTCTGCACCTCAGTCTCTGCAGCAGGCTTCCAGAACCTAAGTACCGTGAACAGCGACAATCAACTGAACTTGTGTTGCTTCAAATGTTTCCTTCACCTCAATAATACACACAGCATTGCTAATGTCTAAAGAAGCGCAAGGTGAGCTGTTAGGAGTATAATCATGTAACCTACCTGTTAAATACAGGTCTGACCACACAAAAACTCCTGGGAAACTTCTCTCTCTCCCTCCCTCAGTGGCATGTGTTTTAATTTTGGATCCATGTCATTTTTTAATGCAGAAAACATTTTCATTATGTTTTCCCCTCTACTTTCAGGCTTAGAAGAAAGTCCTTTCCCATCAAGGTTAGATGCTTATTGATCTGCATGTTCTTCTAAGCATTTTGTGTCTTTATAGTTTTGTTTACACTGTGGGAAGCTGGACATTGTGCATGTTTGTTTATAGGTTGTTTTTTAAAAAACTTTATTAAGTTTTCACATATGTCCTTAGCCCTCGTTACTCCCCCCACATTCATTCCCTCACCCCCTGTTGTCTGTGTCCATTGATTAGGTGTTTATAGGTTTTCTTTTTATCCCCCAGAGATTAATTACCCCATATGATGTATACAGGATCAACTTCACAACTGAATTGAAATACAGCGATTATTAACTACTAAATTTTTATATATATGATATGAGAAGTTTGATGTCTCAAATATTCCCATGACTCATGTATTTTGATTACTAAAGATTTAATTTTGAGGTCTTTTTGCACTGTCTGGCCAGTGTGGCTCAACTGGGTGAGCATCATCTCATGCACTAGGAGATCACGGGTTCGATTCTCAGTCAGGGCACATGCCCAGGTTATGGGTTTGACCCTCAATAAGGAACGTGTAGGAGGCAGCTGATCGATATTTCTATCTCCCTCTCACTTCCCCCCTCTCTCTCAAATCAATAAAAACAGATTTAAATAAAAGATCTTTTTACAATAAAACTACAGGAATAATGTGTAAAATGTTACAAGTCTCAGATAATTTATTGATTTTTATTTAAAAAATATTTCTATTGATTTTTAGAGAAAGAGGAAGGGGGAGGGAAGAAGGGAAAGGGGGGGGAGAGAGAGAGGAAGAGAGACAGATATAGATAGATAGATAAGATAGAGAGAGAAATATCAATTGGTTGCCTTTTGCACGTGGCCTGACCGGGTATCAAATAGGTAGGCATGTACCCTGACCAGAAATTAAACGAGAATCTTGTAGTGCACAGGACTATTTGATGCCCAACCAACTCGGCCACTCTGGCCTGGATGATAATTTATTTTTTAATCCAGATTTTATTGGCTCCAGGGCGTGTTTTGCCCGTCTCACCCAGTCCCGATTGGCTGGACCCCAGCAAGCAAACCTACAGTTGAAGCATCTGCCCCTGGTAGTCAGTGCATGTTATAGCAACTGGTCAAACAAATGGTCAGACACTTAGCATATTAGGCTTTTATCATATAGGATTACACCTTGCTGAAACCGGTTTGGCTCAGTGGATAGAGTGTTGGTCTGCGGACTGTAAGGTCCCAGGTTCGATTCCGGTCAAGGGCATGCACCTTGGTTGCGGGCACATCCCCAGTAGGGGGTGTGCAAAAGGCAGCTGGTCGATGATTCTCTCTCATCGATGTTTCTAACTCTCTATCCCTCTATCTTCCTCTCATAAAAAAATAAATAAAATAGCCCTAGCCAGCTTGGCTCAGTGAATAGAGCATCAGCCTGTGGACTGAAGGGTCCCAGATTCAATTCTGGCCAAGGGCACATGCCTGGGTTTTGGGCTCAATCCCCAGTGGGGGTGTGCAGGAGGCGGCCCATCAATGATTCTCTCTCATTATTGATGTTTCTATCTCTCTCTCCTTCTCCCTTCCTCTCTGAAATCAATCAATAAATATATATTTTTAAAAATGAATAAAATATATATATAAAAATATAGGATTACACCTTGATGAAGTTGGTTTTAAAAATGTGAGTCTAGATCATTCTTTAAAGGCCAGGGTAGGCATTCCATGCTCCTCTAGTTCCCTGGTATGATTAGAGTGTGCTTCTGACCTTATTGTGCACAGCAGCGTGGATATTATACATTAAAAGTGGTCATAGAAAAAAGGCAAATTGCCACAAAGAGTCCAAATACTAGGATAATGAAGTCATGGCTGCTTACCAATTCTGGAAGGGGACAAATGGTGCCAGTATTCATGTACAAGCCTTCGACTACAATGAAACGTCTAGTTACACGTGCCTTGCGAGGATTCTTTAAAAGAAAAACAACAGACATTTAAAATTTTAGTAACTCCAAATACAAACATCTATTATAAGACTTATTCATCACGTTTGAGATCATCCTATTATGAGAGAAAGAACAATGCTTTCTCCTCTCAGAAATGTTTTTCAGCTCCTGCAATCAACTAGGAGACCTGACACACACACACACACACACACACACACACACACACATTTGGTTGAGGCACTTTGAGACTATTATTATATAAACAGGTCCTTCCACGCTCAGAATGACTGGGAAGGTGCCCAGGGAACTTTCTGGGATGACAGGATGTTTGATGTCATGATAGAGGTCATGATACTTGGGTTATATGGTTCTAATCATTGGTAAAAAGGCTAGGGTTTGTGCATTCAGTGTATGTAAATTTTACCTAAAATATAAACTATAACAGCCGGGCTCATAGCTGGTGAGCACAGCAGCTCTGTGGCAGTGCTAAGCTGTCAGTCGAACATCCCCCGAGGGCTCCCGGACTGCAAGAGGGTGCAGGTTGGGTTAAGGACCTCGTCCCCAAATTTTGTGCACCGGGCCTCTAGTATCTATATAAATTATATAAATTAGTATCTATATAAATTATATAAATTACATTATTCAAATTAGGATTTTACTGCAATAATTTTAGGACATGAATTTTATGATAGTACTAGAGGCCCGGTGCATGGATTCATGCACATTGAAAGGAAATTAATTAGAAGGTGGCCGGCAGGACAGGGTGAGACGGGCCAGACACACCCTGGAGCCAACCTCCTGTGGTCCCTGCCAGGCCGGTTGCACCTGGGGCGGCACTGGGACACGAAGAGCATCTGCAGAGTGAGCAGGGTCCCTCTGGCAGGTGGAGTCCCTTGGCCTGGCATGTGGGAATTAGGCCGAAAACGACAGTCTAACATCCCTCGAAGGGTCCCGTAGTGCAAGAGGGCACTATGCAAAGCTGCTGTCTCAGCAGCTCCTGCGTTGAGCATCTGCCCCCATGGTCAGTGTGCGGCCAGTTGGGTGGTTGCTTAGGCTTTTATATATGGATTAGAGCCTAGCGCATGACATTCCTGCACTGAAGGGGGGATGTCCCTCAGCCCGGCCTGCGCCCTCTCAGAGTTCAGGAGCCCTTGGGGGATGTCTGTCTGTTGGCTTAGGCCCGCTCCCCATGGAGTGGGCTTAAGCCGTCAGTTGGACATCCTTAGCACTGCCACACCCTTAGCTACGCTGCGCTTGCCAGCCGTGAGACAGGCTCAGGGCTTCTGGCTAAGCGGCACTCCCCTTGTGGGAGCACACTGACCACCAGGGGGTAGCTCCTGTGTTGACATCTGCCCCCTAGTGGTCTGTGCACATCATAGTGACTGGTCGTTCTGTCATTGGGTCAATTTGCATATTAACTTTTTATTATATAGGATGTTATGAGCATTTCTACATTACTTAATATTATTTAAAACATGATCTTAGGGGAGAAATAATATTCTACTTTATAGGTTTACCATAAACTAACAATTCTCCCAATGTCCCATTTAGGCCGTTTCCCTTGTTTTGCTTTTTTACATCGAATCGTAAATATCTTTTAATTTCTGACACCACTTCTGAGTATCTTCTAACAGCAGCACCCACATCCCAGTCCCAAGGATACAGCTACTTAAGAATCCTGGAATGTAACTGTGTCTAAAGGCTGTGCCAATGAAACCCCCATGGTTCCCAGAGGGCCCTCTGTCTCATCACATGTATCTATGTTGATGCTGATTATTATGATTAAAATATGTTCCCTAATTGGGCGAGCCAAAACTGCTATCCTAATTTCTCTAATTATTAGTGAAGCCAGATTATTTTTCACATGCTCAGTTATTTCTTATTTCTTCCATAAAATGCTGTTTTTATCTACTATCCTTGATTTACACTGAGTGGCCAGATTATGATGATCTCTGAATGCATAATAATCTGGCCACTCAGTGTATATCTTATATAATAAAAGGCTAATATGCAAATTGTCCCCTCGACCAGGAGTTTGACCAGCAGGTAGACTGGCTAACCGCCCATGTCCCCTTCCCCTGGCCAGGCTGGTAGGACCCCACCCATGCATGAATTCATGTACCAGGCCTCAATATATATATGTATATACTGAGTAGCCAGATTATTATGTGTTCAGAGATCATAATAATCTGGCCACTCAGTGTATTTATTTATTTAAAATATATTTTATTGATTTTTTTACAGAGAGGAAGAGAGAGGGATAGAGAGTTAGAAACATCGATGAGAAAGAATCATCGATCAGCTGTCTCTTGCACACCCCCTATCAGGGATGTGGTGCAACCAAGGTACATGCCCTTGACCGGAATCGAACCTGGGACCTTCCAGTACACAGGCTGACGCTCTATCCACTGAGCCAAACCAGTTTTAGCTATTTATTTATTTTTAAAGAATCTGTGACAAGAGAAAACTGTAGGAAAAGAAACAAGAAACATCTTGGGAAATTAACACCACCTCCCAAAAATTTGATCCATACCTGGACTACACTATAATATTTTAATTCAGTTTCAAAGGAAAGATAAGCATCTAAGTAGAAAATATTAAAAAATTTAATATTTATATAAAACTGAAAAAGAATCATCTTTAAAAATAAAAATGTAGCCAAAACTGGTTTGGCTCAGTGGACAGAGCGTCGGTCTGCGGATTGAAAGGTCCCAGGTTCGATTCCGGTCAAGGGCATGTACCGCGTTTCCCCGAAAATAAAACATCCTCCGAAAATAAGACCTACTTACAGGTTTCCTTCTGAGTGAAATATAAGGCATCCCAACGAAAATAAGCCCGCTCCCCCCCAGACTCTGCCTCAGAATGAAAATTAATTTACCGTAAACTGGTCGCTAGGGCCGCCCTGACTGGCGTCTAACAACCAGTGACGTTATACAGAGTCCTGACGTCACTGCTGTGTGGAGGCGGAGCAGAGGTCGGAGTGAGCGGTGAGCACGGGGCGGGAGAGAAGAGGAGACTATCTCGCAGATGCGTGTAGAAGAACAGGAGGATTACAGCGGACAGGACGCAGCGAAGGTGGTGAGTGCTGGTCTGTCTCTGGTGACACTACCTGATGCTCGCGGCCGCCCTCATGATGACTGAAGGTTCTCAGTCAGTGGCAGACCCTGCTCCAGCCCAGATCCAGGCCCCAGCAAGCCCAGTGACAGACCCCAGGCAGGCCTCAGGGGGTAAATGTCTGATAAAGGGGTAAGGGAGATGTCTGATGAAGGTGTTCAGTGGCACAGGGGTAGGGGGAGGGGGATCACTTAAAATGACACAGGAGGATCAGAGGGGGCAATCAAAATGACACAGGAGGATCAAAAGGGGTTACTAAAATGGTAATCCCCCCTCTGATTCTCCTGTGCCATTTTGATTCCCCCCTCTGATCCTCCCTGTGTCATTTTAAGTGATCCCCCTCCCCCCACCTTGATACTCCAATTCCTTTTTTTTACCCCTAGAAATGATCGCAAAAAGAAAAAGCTACTCCGTGGAGCACAAGAAAGGAATCGTGGAAGACTCTTGGAGCCAAAATCTTACTACTTTCTGCAAAGAGAAGATGGTGAGTATATGATTGGTCCGAAAATGGCGAGCAGAGTATGGTAACCTCATTGAACAAGTGGACAAGGGAAATGCTAAAAAACGCAAGTGTGGATCAGGTCGGCAACCATTATTTTCTGAGCTGGAAGACCTGATCTGTGAATGGGTTGTTGACAGGAGAGCAAAAGCTTTGGTTGTGAATAGGGCTCAGATTCAAGAATTTGCCCTTGCAATAGCACCACAGTTTGACATAGCCCCCAAAGACTTCAAAGCATCACAACACTGGCTGGATAATTTCTTTCAGCGAAGTGAGCTGTCTTTAAGATCTACCGGTACAACATTGTTTAGATTGGAAGATACTCAAGTTATTAAGCAAGCACTTGCATTCAAGTTCTTTATTGATGATGCTGACTTCTCTAAATATAATCTTTCCAACAAGATTGCTATGGATGAAACTGCAGTGTTTATGGGCCAATCATCTCAAACAATAATTGAACAGCGGGGTGCCTCCTTAGTGTACATTCCCTCCACTGCTTACGAAAGTGCACGTGTTTCCTGTATTTTGGCAATTCGTCTGGATGGCACTAAAATCCCACCTTTAATCATTTCTAAGGGCAAGAAGGAAAAGATTGAACGTGTTTTGGTCGTTTTTATTTTTGAAACTGAAAAAGCCTGGGCCACACAAGGAAGTGGGTCAATTTAATGCTGCTGCTTATTATGTGAGGGAGCCAAAGAGGTCTGCTAGTCTGGGATGCAGCCAGCACTCACTGCACTAAAGACATGAAGACATTTCTTCACGAATGAAAAATAGATCAGATAATGATTCCTGCAGGAATGACGGCCCACCTCAGACTTGATATTGCAATAAACAAGCCATTCAAAGACAATTTGAGCATGGAAATTAATGACTACATTGAAAATAGAATGGAGAGAAATCAGCGTGGAAACTCTGTGAAATCTAAACTGCAAGAAGTTGTGACTTGGGTGAAGAATTCATGGGAGAAAATCACTGACAGTTGCATTGCAAATGCAATGCGAGCAGGCCACCTTGACAAGAAGTACTCATTTAAAGACAGTGGTATTGCTAAACATGAGAGATTTGGTCCACTGATTATGAAAGAAATGAAGTCACAAGAAATTCACCAGGAAATTCAGGAATTGAATTGTTATGATGATGTTCCAGAAGATGATGACATGACTGTCATTGAATAAATGAGTCAATTCTTGATACTGTAGGATTCACGGTTTGTCTGATTTGTGTTGACAACTACCGTACTACTGTACCGAATACAGGTAATAAATTTCCTTTATTTTCATTTAACAACAAATGTGTACCGCATTCTTCTTCATGGAAAAATAAGACATTCCCTGAAAATAATACTTAGCGCATCTTTGGAAGCAAAACCTAATATAAGACACTGTCTTATTTTCGGGGAAACAGGGTACCTTGGTTGCGAGCACATCCCCAGTGGGGGGTGTGTAGGAGGCAGCTGGTCGATGATTCTCTCTCATCGATGTTTCTAAGTTTCTATCCCTCTCCCTTCCTCTCTGTAAAAAAATCAATAAAAAAAAAATATCTTTTTAAAATAAAAATGTAGAGTAATTTAGAAAACCTACTCTTGGCAGGAAAATCTAATATAAATTAATTAGTAAAAACTATAATATGGAAATGCATTTTCAAAATAATTTTATTTTTTGTTATTATAAAAAAAGTTCACAAATAGTATAAATCTTGTAAAACACACACACTCACACACTTGAATATCATGTTTTCCAGATTTGTACAATACTAATTTGGCAAAATATACAGAAGACTGGTCATTGGCCATATTCCCCAAGGCAATGTTCTTCAGTCTGGTAGCATACTATTACTAGGGAGAACAAAGGACATCTTTCCTATTCCTAGTCAGAACAAGGGACATCTTTTTATGATTTGTAGAAAGTAATCAATGGAATAGTTTCAATGTTAAGATTTTCTAGTTGTGCCGTGCTGGCGTGGCTCAGTGGTTGAGGGTTAACCTATGAACCAGGAGGTCACGGTTCTAATCCTGGTCAGGGCACATGCCAGGCTTGTGGGCTCAATCCGCAGTGGGGCCTGCAGACAGCGGGTCAATGATTCTCTCTCATCACTGATATGTCTGTCTCTCCCTCTCTCTTCCTCTCTGAAATCACTAAAAAGTATATTAAAAAAGAGATTTCCTAGTTGTATAGCTACAACGCATGCATGACAGGAAGTTTTTTTTTTTTTAATATATATTTTATTGAATTTTTACAGAGAGGAAGGGAGAGGGTTAAAGAGCTAGAAACATCGATGAGAGGGAAACATTGACCAGCTGCCTTCTGCACATCCCCCACCGGGGATGTGTATGCAACCAAGATACATACCCTCGACTGGAATCGAACCTGGAACCCTTCAGTTCGCAGGCTGACCTTCTATACACTGAGCCAAACCAGTTTCAGCACAGAGGAAGTTTATCAAAGAGTCTACGTACTCAGTAAGAACTGCTGTCTCCTAACAAAGACAACAGAATCATAGAGGAATAATGCAAATATTAAAAAACAAAAAAAACACACACAAAAATTGGCCCTAACCAGTTTGGCTCAGTGGATAGAGCGTCAGCCTGTGGACTCAAGGGTCTTAGGTTTGATATAGATCAAGGGCATGTACCTTGGTTGTGGGCACATCCCCAGTAGGAAGTGTGCAGGAGGCAGCTGATTGGTATTTCTCTCATCAATGTCTCTAATTCTCTATCCCTCTCTTTTCCTCTCTGTAAAAAAATCAATAAAATATATTTAAAAAACAAACAAAAAAATTGATACAAAAATGAGGAACGTGATGGGCATTTTTTAGCAGTGACTGTAATGAATGAGCTGTACTGGAACAGCCCTCTTGGAAGTGACACTGAGACAGGGCTGTGGTGACCAGGTTCCTAGTCCGGTCTACACATAATGGTTCCCGTAGAATTGCAGACCAGAGCTACCTTCTGCATCCACATCATCAGAAGAAAATAAATGATAATTCTAATAGTGATACTCTCAACACATTCCCTCTGCCACACTCCCATGGAACATCGAGGAACAAGACCATTCCCTCAAGGGGAAGGAAAGGGTAAATGGGTGGTAAGAAGGCAGGAAACCCATTTGGGGGCTGTTGTTCCTCACAGGTAGCAGCTGCTAGAGGCACATGACAGTGGGGTGGGGATTAAGAGTCTCACTTTGTCCATAAATTTATAAATTCAGATCTGACATTATTGTTTCTTCCACTTAATTGATTCTGATATGAATTAATCTCTGTGAACAAACTAGTGAAGTGGAGCTATTCCTGCAGAGCTGAAAATACACACCCCACCCACAGCGCAGGCTGTTTTTCTCTCCTTTTAAAAAAATTAATATTTTTATTGCTTTCAGAGAGGAAGGGAGGGGGAGGCAGAAAAGGAGGGCTGAGGAGGGGGAGGGGAGAGAAAAACCAATGATGAGACATTGACTGGCTGCCTCCTGCACATTCCCTCCGAGGGATCGACCCTGCAATTCTGGCATGTGCCCTGGACCGGAATAGAACCGGGAACCTGCCAGTCCGCAGGTCGACACCCTATCCACTGAGCCAAACCGGCTCGGCTCTCTCTCCTTTTTAGAAAGCAGCCTAATTAATTAGCTTCCCCAAATTTGCCATATATAATTTTGGCAATGATGAGCAATTACATCAGACTTGGCTCTACAACATGAAGTACACTTAATAAGCAGGAACATCCTTAATATCCAAATGTGATCCACAGGCACGTTTTCATGACAAATTATCATTTCATATCTAATTTAGCTGGTGAGAGAGTACAAAAGAACTGCGTAATTTTCTTCAAAAGAATCCTACCTTTTGATCTTCGATCTCTTGCTCTTTTAGCAGTCGCTCCAGGTCAGCCATATCATTATGCTCAAATAACTTAATGTTACTACGTGATGCCTGTAATCCTTTCTGAATAGCAAAGCAGGCAGCTCTATCTCTGTAAGAAGAGGACAACCAGACGGGTTTAAAGGGCCTTGGCATGTGAGTAGGTGACCTACATTCACTTGTTAATGTGAACGTGACAAATAAATAAAGCACACCTGAGCATTTATACATCACTGTTTGCACTTCCCCCTGCAAGCACTTCCCACGAGGCTATATCCTGGTTCTGTTCTAAGCAGCACTCCTCCGTATTTTCACCTGCGTCAGCATGCTAAGGCCTTGCTCTCAGCAACTCTCTCCAGAAACACATGAACACTCGCACTGCACCACAGCGGCTCCTCTGGTTGGAATGCCACCAGCAAGAGAAGCAATCTTGCAGAGCTGACTATGCACATAACCAGGTAGAACTCTGAATCTTGCAGATTAAACTTGCATGAGATCTTCTAAACTGAGCTCATTAAGAGGAAATATATATATATATTTAAATACTTTATTGATTTTTTACAGCAAGGGAGAGGGATAGAGAGCTAGAAACATCGATGAGAAACATCAATCAGCTGTCTCCTGTACACCCCTCACTGGGGATGTGCCCACAACCAAGGTACATGCCCCCGACCGGAATCGAACCCGGGACCCTTCAGTCCGCAGGCCGACGCTCTATCCACTGAGCCAAACCTGTTTCGGCTGCTTTAGTGTCTTATAATTGACAAGTAGAGATCTTTTACTTCCTTGGTTCTATCAGTTCCAACAGTTTTATTGTGGGATCTTTAGGATTCCTTGCATACAGTATCATGCCATCTGCAAATAATGACGGGTTTACTTCTTGCTTTCCAGTTGGATGCCTTTTATTTCTTCTTCTTACCGATCGTTGTGGCTAGACGTCCAGTGCTATGTGAATACGAGTGGTGAAAGCATACATCCCTGTTTTGTTCCTGATCTTAAGGGAAACACTTTTAGTTTGTCTCCATTGAGTATGATGTTGGCTGTGTGCCATCAACAGCCTTTATTATGTTGCGATATGTTCCCTCTGTTTGTACTTTGCTGAGAGTTTTTATCCTAAATGTGTGCTAGATTTTGTTAAATGCTTTTTCTGCATCTATTGATATGATTATATGACTTTTATTCTACATTGTTTATATAGTGTATCACATTAATTGATTTGTGGATATTGTACAAACCTTGCATCCCAGGAATAAATCCTACTTGATCAAGGTGTATGATCTTTTTTACATATTGCTGGATTTGTTTGCTAATATTTTGTTGAAGATTTTAGCATTTATGTTCATCTATAGGGATCTTGGCCTATAATTTTCTGTCTGTGTAGTATCTTCATCTGGTTTTGGAGTTAGGATACGCTGGCCAACGTCAGCCACTGCCAGTGTTCTACCTGGGCCACTCAGCACAAGCTATAACATGATCTGCAGGTGGATGCACCGCCTGGCAGGCCCCAGAGCCAGTAAACTCAGTGAACACCTTCAGACCATGTCAAAGCACCACCACCCAACCACGTCCACAAGCAATACACTTAAGAGGCAGACTCAGTGGGCATCAAAGCCCTGCTAAGTAAGTCCTGTTCTGTGCAGTGTTGGGTCCCTGCACAGTTGATCCTCCACAATAGTTGGAGGTCGGTGGTCCTTGCAGATGATTGGGCTGAAGTTAAATCCCTGCCACTGAAGTGCCCACAGCAATCAAGGCTCGACTACAAGAGAGAGGTGCAACAGCTCACATGGGGGAGAAAAGGTGGCACACCTTGAGTGCCAGTTTGTGACCAGGGAGGCTGTGCAGCTGAGCCTACAGAACACCTCCTACATTACCGTAGTCACTCTACCAAGCCTGGGTGAGGTAGCAGCTCTACCTAATACATAGGAACAAACACAAGAGGCTGCCAAATGAGGACACAGGAAACATGTCCCAAATACAACAGAGCAAACTCCAGGAGAAAAAGTAGAAAAATCAAGACAAGTAACCTACTAGATGCAGAGTTCAAAACACTGCTTCTAAGGATGCTCAATGAACTTAGTGAGAACCTCACAGCATAAAAAAGGAACAGTCAGGCATAGCTGGCGTGACTCAGTGACTAAACGTTGACAGATGAACCAGGAGATCACAGTTTGATTTCCAGTCAGGGCACATACACCAGTTGCAGGTTCAATCCCTAGGGGGAGTTGTGCAGGAGGCAGCCAATCAATGATTCTCTCTCATCATTGATTTTTCTTTCTTTCTCTCTCCTTTCCTCTCTGAAATCAATCAAAATATTTTAAAAAAAAGGACCAGTCAGAAATAAAGGAGACACTAACTGAAATGAAGAGTAAATTTACATGGAGTCAACTGTACAGTAATCGCTAACAGCGATTTGGAATATAAAGAAGCAAAAAAACACGCAATTAGAATGCAAAAAAGAAAAAAAACATCTAAAAAACGTGAGGATAGTGTAAGGAGCCTCTGGGACAACTTTGAGCGCATACCAACAATCACATCATGGGGATACTGGAAGGAGAAGCAAGCAAGCAAAAAACCAAAAACCTATTTGAATATATAATGAGAGAAAACTTCCCTACCTTGGGGAATGAAATAGACATATAACTCCAGGAAGCTCAGAGTCCCAAATAAGATGAATCCAAAGAGGCCCAAGTTATTGGCAAGAAATATTCCAAGTGATGAAAAGCCTGGACCTACAACCAAAATTACTCTGCCCAGAAAGACTAGCATTCAGCATTGAAAAGCAGCTAAAGAGCTTCACAGATAGAAAAAAGCAAAAAGAGTTCATCACCATCAAACTAGTGATATGAAATGCTAAAGAAAAAGGGGGGAAATAAAGATAAAAAATCTATATTAATAAAAGGATAATATGCTAATTAGACCAGATGTCTTCCAGAGGTTCTTCCTCACAAAACTGCAGGGGGGAGGGGGGAGGGCTCCAGCCTGCAAACTGCCCTCCGCCCCTTGCCCAGGCTGGCCCCAATCCCAGCGGGGACCCTCACCCCAATTGGGGGTGCCCCGGCTGCTCGCTCAGGCCAACTTCACCCCCCAGCAGGCTCCCTTCAGGGCAGGCCAGCTGGCCCCTACCCATGCACCAGGCCTCTATCCTATATAATAAAAGGATAATATGCAAATTGACCCTAAAGGCAGAACAACTGCTGGATCAGTCACTATGAGATGCACTGACCACATCTTGGTCCTTTTTCCCGGCCAGCAGGCTGCAATCACCTGATGGCCACCCGCTATGGGGGCAGGGTCAGCAAGCAGGCGGAAACGGCTGGCCTCTCAGTTCCTTGCCCTGGCCATCAGGCACTGATCACCTGATAGGAAACAGGGAACTGGGGGTAGGTGGCAGTGGGGCTTGTGACAAGGCTGGCCTTGGGCAGCTGAGGAAGATGGCCCTGACCACAGGCCAGGCCTAGGGACCATACACATGCACGAATTTTGTGCCCTGGGCCTCTAGTATAAACAATAAAGTTGTAATAAATACGTATCTATCAACAATTGAATCTGACCCAGCAGATTTGGCTCAGTGGAAGAGTGTCAGCCTGTGGACTGAAGGGTCCCAGGTTTGATTCTGGTCAAGAGTACATGCCAGGGTTGCAGGCTTGATTCACATTAGCGGGCATGCAGAAGGCAGCCAATCAATGACACTTGCTCATCATTGATGTTTCTCTCTCTCCCTCCCTCTCCCTTCCTCTCTGAAATGAATAAAAATATATAAAACAAACAAACAAAAAAAAACCCCACAACTGCCGAGACCAGTTTGGCTCAATGGATAGAACGTCGGCTTGGGGACTGAAGGGTCCCGGGTTCGATTCCGGTCAAGGGCATGTACCTTGGTTGCGGGCATATCCCCAATAGGAGGTGTGCAAGAGGAAGCTGATCAATGACTCTCTCTCATCGATGTTTCTAACTCTCTACCTCTCTCCCTTCTTCTCTGTACAAAATCAATAAAATATATTAAAAAACAAAAACAAAACAAAAAACCCCCCCACAATTGAATCTTAAAAAAAAATTAAACAAGCAGAACAGAAATAGACTCATACAACTGTAATTTTAAAATTTTAAAATGACTAAAAAAAATGTAAAGTGACTCCTTAAAAACTTCTTATATTGATTACATTGTAAACAATAGTATTTTGATAGATTGACAAATAAAATATATTATAAAATAGACTTCATCTTAAAACTTAAATTACAAATAGTGGGTAGGCTGGGAGGGACGTGGGAGCAGCAACATGGAAGATCCTTCTGGTGATGGACGTGTTCTGTGTTTTAACTTTATCACTGTCAATAGCCTAGTTTGAAACTCTATTGTAGTTTGCAAGAGGTGACCACTGGGAAAAACTAGGTAAAAGGCACACAGAATCTCTGTATTATTTCTTAAAAGTGTATGTAAGTCCAAAATTATCTTAATAAGAATACTAGAGGCTCAGTGCACGAAATTCATGCATGGGAGGGGGTGTCCCTCAGGCCAGCCTGAATCTTCTCCAACCTGGGATCCTGGTGGGCCTAAACAGGCAGTCAGACATCCCTCTCACAATTCAGGACTGCTGGCTCCCAACTGCTCGCCTGCCTGTCTGCCTGATTGCCCCTAACCACTTCCACCTGCCAGCCTGATCGATGCCTGCTTCCTTGCCAGCCTGACTGCCCCTAACTGCCCTCCCCTGCTGGCCTGGTCACCCCTAACTGCCCTCCCTTACCGGTCTGGTTGCCCCTAACTGTCCTCCTCTGTAAGCCTGGTCACCCCCCCACTGCCCTCCTTTGCTGGCCCAGTCATCCCTAACTGCCCTCCCTTGCCAGCCTGGTCATCCCTAACTGCCCTCCCTACCGGTCTAGTCATCCCCAACTGCCCTTCCCTGCAGGCCTGGTCAACCCCAACTGCCTTCTCCTATAGGCCTGGTTTCCCCCCCTTCCCTAACCCCCCCAATTGACCTCCTCTGCTGGCCTGGTTGCCCCTAACTTCTCTCCCTGCTGGCCTGGTCACCCCCAACTGCCTTCCCCTGCAGGCAACTGGTTCCCCCCAGTTGCCCTCCCCTGAAGCCCTGGTCCTCTCCAACTGCCCTCTCCTGTAGGACTCGGCCCACCCCAACTGTCTTCCCCTGCAGGCCTGAGTCCCCACCCCTCAACTGTTCTCCCCTGCAGGCCTGGGTCATCCCCCCCCCACAACTGTCCTCCCCTACAGGCCTAGTCACCCCCAACTTCCCTCCCTTGCAGGCCTAGTTCCTCCCAACTGCCCTCCCCTGCTGGCCATCTTGTGTCCAGATGGGGCAGCCATTTTTTTGTGTTGGAGTGATGGTCAATTTGCATATTACCTCTTTATTATATAGGATTGCATAAAAAAATATGAACATATACTTAGTAGAGTGACTAGGAAAGGCTAAAATAACATAAACAACCACTGTGCTGAGACCTCCTATTGACAAGGCTTTATCCCTGTTTACCAAAAAAGGAAGAAAATGAAGCTTTGGACACACTGTCTATGCATAATGAATTTATCAAAAACAACTTACTAAACACCATTTTTACCTACAATGTTCCTACCAAATTTCTAGCAAAATATTTAAAGTAATAAGAATAAATTAAGCCCTCACTGGTTTGGCTCAGTGGATAGAGCGTTGGCCTGCAGACTGAGAGGTCCCAGGTACCATTCCGGTCAAGGGCATGTACGTGGGTTGCAGGCACATCCCTAGTAGGATGTGTGCAGGAGGCAGTTGATCGATGTTTCTAACTCTCTATCTCTCTCACTTCCTCTCTATAAAAATTCAATAAAATATATATATTTTTTAAAAAGAGTAAATTAAGTTGTATCATGACTGACTAGAAACTGAAGTTCAAAGACACTTCCAAAGACATTTGGAAGTGAATTTAAGCTAGCTTTCCTAGCAGTTAAAACCAAAAGGATAATATAATACTTAATTTGTGGCAAAGGAAGAATACAAACTCAGTTGTAACTGTACACTTTTCCTGGACTTAAAACTCCAAGTCTATAGTGAGGTTCTTGTATGAGGAGATACTGGGTGACATGAAGTTGTCTGTAACTGTTTTTACTAAAAACCAGAAATACTTTAAATCAGCAGCTCTCAAGTCTGTGATGAGTCTTACTGGATTTTTTAACTTTGTGCAAAAAGTTAGTGAAATATTCATTCCCATAACTACAGGGGGAAACACTAGCGCAGGCCACGTGCTGGAGAGCTAGCTGCCAGGCTGCTGCAGGGTGACGGGAAGAATGAACAGTGTGTGGCCCACAGCGCCCGGCAGAGCCGGGGCTGCGCCCAATGATGGGCTTGCTGCACTAGCAGCAGTTCCAACAGTGGGTGAGAAGCAGGAGGAGGCTGCAGGGCCCAGGGAGGGCCAGTTGCTGTGACCCTTCTTTTGAGCTCCAGCCTCCATTCATTCATTCACTGAACTGGTATTTATTGAGCACTATGAAAAAGCAATTAATTAACTACTAACACTGTGTATTCTGTGAGTCTGAGGCAAGATGATCAGAGAGCAGAGGGTGTGTGCTACACATGCCTGAGGACATGAGGAGGCCTGATGGGCTGAGAGTGCCATGTGGTCTTAGATTCACAAGGCAGACCTCTGTAGCTTTAAGTTCTTCTCCACATGCAGCATGGGTCCTGACCTGGCCTGAGAGGTTGGGGAAGACTTTCCTGCAGAAGTGATGGTATGTGCAGGGTGAGCAGGCATTAAACAGGAGATAAGAAACAATATACTTAGCATGTGAGAAGAAACTAGTATCTAAGGCTGGTGAGGCTACAGCAGGACAACCTGAGGGAAAATGGTACAAAATAAGTTTGAAAAAGTAGTCTAGACCACGCAAAATCAAAATAAAGACCTGGATCATTATTTCAGGAACAATGGAAGCTCTGACATAATCAGATTTGCATTAAAAAAAAATTATTCTGGCAATGGTGTTGAGAGAGAGAGAGAGAGAGAGAGAGAGAGAAAGTAAATTTGCTTTTCTTTTTTAAAAATATATTTAAAATTTTTTAAAGTATATTTTTTATTTCAGAGAGGCAAGGAGAGGCAAAGAGAATCATTGATCAGCTGCCTCCTGAACATCCCCCCCGCCCCTAGGGGACTGAGTTCACAACCCAGACATATACCCTGACTAGAATTGAATCATGATCTCCTGGTTTATGGGTCCATGCTCCACCACTGAGCCACAATAACTGGGTGTAAATGTGTAGGTTTTTTAAAATTCAAAGTAAATTTGTTTCTAAAATTCAAAGGGTCATTTAATGGTCCACTCAAAAGATGACAGAGGCTTGGGTTGGAGGCTTCTAGAAGGTGCAGGCAGCTGCCTGTGCTATGCTGGCCATACCCACTTCTCTCTGTCCTTTCTCTCCATAGCAAAGAGCAACCCATCTAGTATACATGCATGAGGGGGCAGATTTGCATACGGGAAGTGAAAGAAGCCCTCAACGCACAGCTTCTGTGTTCTTAACATGTCATGAAGCAAGACAACAGAGACAAGGGTTGAGCTGGGGTCAGAGAAGTGGAGTCTCCCAGGGTTACCACATGGCCACAGCTGTGCGGGGACGGGAGATGGTTGGCCTCCTCCAGGCTTCTCAATAGCAACAAACAGAACCATAACGAAAGATAGCTGAGTGCCAAAGCCTTTAGGTTCTCATCCTTCTAACGACTCTCACCAATTCTGTAGAATTACTTGGTTGGGGTGTCTATGAATTTCTTTAAAAACAAAAAATCTTATTATTTTAGGCAGCTATCCGCTAACAAAAGACTTTTCTAGGAAGGTGAATATAATTTTCAAAGGCATTTGATTAGAAGAGGAGGTAACGGTTACTCACACAAACACAATGTCCCCTCTCTTAGAGTAAGCAGGAATAGCACTGGCTATGGTGGCAAATCCATACGAGTAGATAATGGCTTCTTCTGTCTTCATAAATTTTGCAAGGCGGTCTTCCAAATCCAAGTGCACATCTATTTCAATAATAAAAATTCAAATGGTCAAACAGTCATATAACTCTTTTTCACTAACTAAAGAATAAAAATAATCAGCTTAGTTATTAATACTGACACCTTATGGCCAAAATGTAATTGTTTTCAAGTGATAAATTACATAAACTCTATTGAGATAATTCTGGGCCAATAATACTTCTAAAAACTGTGAACTGAATCAGCTACCCTGTCCGTACAATGTGGCTCCAACTTGGGGTTCTGCTTTGACACCACTCTAATCCAAGAATTCAAGGCCCAGTCACTTTACCAGCTTTGAAGTCCTTCGATCAATGCACGATATTCATTACTAATGCCTTCCTGCCTTTTAGCAGAAGTACCAAACCAACCACCAAGACAACTGTTAACCAGCTTCTAACGCAAAAGGAGGAGGGGGGAGAACGCGGGTCATTTAAAAAAAAAGCCCATGCACTCTGCACCAGACAGTGGCTCTGAGCAGTAGTCACTCCACAGCGGTGCCATAGCACCTGCCATCACTCTGCTTTTTAAGTGTACTGGGGAACTAAATTTAAAGTACAAGAGAAAGGGGTCCTTTCACAGAGAGAGCTTAGGAAGAATGCTGATGTAATAATAGGAACAAATGTTGGTTAAACTTTTTTTCCTTCTTACATCATGGTTCCCTTTAGCCTTTCACCTCCCCAGGCTGAGCATGAGGCTGCGGGCCCGGGGGGAAGAACCAGAGATGTCTAGAATTAACAGTATACTGACTGGCCTTGAACCTAAAACCTTCAAAGTGCTCTTATCAGGAGAGGAGAGGATGTTTACAACTCCCTTTAGCTCTTTCACTACAGCAGCGCCCAAGCTTCCCCACATGCTCTGCACGAGGAGAACCAGCAACTGGTGAGAAAGGTGCGTGGGCTTCGTGGGAGGGGAGGGCGGCCAGAGGTGAGGAAGGCTGGCTTTCAGGCCACGGAAGAGGGAACCGCAGCACGGCCAGGGAGGGCAACTTGGAAGTCTAAGCAGCAGCAGGGACCTCGGTGGTCTCTGGAGAGGGACGGTGGGAGGCCTGATGGGCTGACACAGCGCTCTGGCCTGGATGCAGAGGCCTGTCAGAGGGAGCACCACTCCAGGAGACGCGAACCCCACCACCCTCAGCATCAGCCTTCCTGCAGGCAGCACTGGCACCTCCCTCCAGAGACCAGGCCTGAGGGACAGGTATGCCCCTCTCCCTCGGGGGCCTTCTTGGTGAGAAGCGGGAGGGACAAGACCTAAAGAACTGAGACACTCAGAAGAGACGATGTAACTGCTGGGTACAAGCTGGGCTGTGAGTGGACTATATTCCCACTGGAAGGGACATGTGAACTGTCAAGGACCAGGTTCTCACACCCTCCAGGAGGGACAAATGAGGAAGGTCAGTTCAGCTACAGGAAATAAGAAACTTCTTTCTTAGCATCTCATCACCTGCCACTTCTCATTTCCCAGACGATGATGGTGGGGCCACAAGGGACGAGGTGGCCTCTGAGGCAGTGGGGGGCCAAGCCCCTTGTCACAAATTTCATGCATCGGCCTTCTAGAATTTGAATAAGTGTGCAAAATCTGTGAACCCACTCTCTGACTTATGAGGCAAGCTAATCTATTGTGAAGCTATCTAAGTTGAGGGCAAAATTAAGAATGATAAAAGTTGTGACTTCACAAAAGACTACATTGAAAAAGCAGTCAAGTCCTGGCCAGTTTGTTCAGTGGTTAGAGTGCCAGCCTATGAACCAAAGGATCCAATCAAGACCATATACCCCGGTTTCAAGTTCCCCAGCCCCAGTAGGGGCACGTGCAGGAGACAACCAATCAATGTCTGTCTGTCTGTCTCTCTTCTCCTTTCCGCTCTCTCTAGAAATCAATGGAAAATATCCTAGGGTGAGGATTAAAAAAAACACACAGTACTCAGATGAGGGAGATCCAACAATCCTCTCAATTAATTCATTTATTAACTAAACATTTAGTGAATATCACATAAAGACAGACATTCTGATAAGCACTGGACCTGGTTTCTGCCACAGCTAGTGACACAGCTCAGAGGGTCATCCAGCAGCGGTCACCGAAGAACTCGAGGCTGGGAAGGTTAACCTATGCCTTCCACACATGGGCCCCTTCACTCAGAACCACAGCACATCCAGAGCGATTTCTGGCTAAAGAAGGGAACACTCAACAGTGAACCAAAGGCATATGCAAACCAGGAAGACATAGATGGTCTAAACCCGTGGTCGGCAAACTGCAGCTCGCGAGCCACATGCGGCTCTTTGGCCCCTTGAGTGTGGCTCTTCCACAAAATACCACAGCCAGGACGAGTCTATAATATTTTAAAGAAGTGGCATTAGAAAAAGTTTTAAAAATGTGGCTCTCAAAAGAAATTTCAATTGTACTGTTGATATTTGGCTCTGTTGACTAGTGAGTTTGCCAACCACTGGTCTAAACTAAACCCTGATTGGATGGAAAGAGATAGCAAGGAATTAGAAAATTCAATAGCAATATCCAGAAGCTCATCTTTATTTATAGGTTTCTTATAGGATGTTATAAGCACTACATCCTCTCATTCACTACTAGGAATCATTATCTTATTCCAGTCATAGTGATTAAAAAAAAAAAATAAGGAGGTTCTTCCCATTTATCTGTTAAGATACGTATACTACCACCGAAACCGGTGGTTCAGTGGACAGAGCATCGGCCTGCAGACTGAAAGGTCCCAGGTTGATTCCTGTCAAGGGCATGTACCTTGGTTGTGGGCACATCCCCAGTAGGGGGTGTGCAAGAGGCAGCTGATCGATGATTCTCTCTCATCGATGTTTCTAACTCTATCCCTCTCTCTTCCTCTCTGTAAAAAAAAATCAATAAAATATATTAAAGAAAAGATATGTATACTACCATAGGCTATTATAGAAAAACACACACATATAAGAGCCACTTGATTTTCATTATTAATTGGTTATAATCATCTTATAGAACTGACGCTTTCATTACATTAACATTAAACACATTTGGGATTATTACAGTAACCAAGAAGCCTGTATCCCAACTGATCAAAATGGTACCAAAGGGGTACTTGGCTCTTCAAGCATCAGATCTGCACTATCACCGCCACCAAGCACGAGGATCTGGCCCAGCACCTGACTGCTTGGCCTGCTATGCCAGATGCTGCCCATGGGAGGACTCAGGCAAAATCTGCAAGAACAAGGAAGCAGCAAGGCACTAGAGAACCAGCGACCCCACACACCCGAGCTCGGGCGTGTCTCTCTGGGTGCCTCCTTACAGGCAGGCTCCCACCACCTGCCACTTCTCCCTTCCCATCAGGCATGCAGGCAAGTTCCCCGGGAAAGTCCTCCTTCAGATTACAATGCAGCCCCCAAAGTGGACTAGCTTCCCCAAATCTTCACAATTTAGCTAGCAGGTAGACAACCCAAGCTACAGTATATTGCTTTCACTCACTCTCTATTTCACAAAGAAAAAACACGCTATGCATGCCAGATACTTTTTGCTATCTACAAAAGTGACTTTAAGTAGTACTACTGACTTAGCTCTAAAGAATTCTTTCCCTTGTTAGCAGTGAGACAGTAAAACAGACTTGGCTTTGTTTCAGAGTTTCTACCTAGTTGCTAAAAACTGTATGTCAAGAATACTCTCATCCTACCTAATAAAAGAGCAACATGCAAATTAACAATCACTCTGCTACACCCATAAGCCACGCCCACCAGCCAATCAGAGTGAGTATGCAAATAAACCCAACCAAGATGGATAGGCCACAGAGAGCAGGAGGGAGGCTTGGGTTTCCCAGGCAACACAAGAAGCCAAGCTTTCTACCTGTCCTTGCCCGGCCTAAGCCTTCACTAAAGGCTACAAAGTTTCAATTATAGAAGGTAAACATATCCAAACAGAAATGAGGCTGCCATAGAGCTGGAGAGAGCAGGCTAGGGTTGCCCCCAGAAATGGAGGAAACAAAGCTTTCTGCACACCCTGGCCCAGGCCTCTGCTTAAGGCTACAAAGTTTCAATTACAGAAATGGCTGCCTGCCATGGAGCAAGCAGGAGGCTTGGCTCCACTCCAGGCTACAACTGTAGAAGGTAAATAAATTCCTGATACCAGGCCCTCCGCTTAGGTTGCCAGGGGGCATAGCTGATCTGCAAACCACCACAGGCCCCTCATCCAGGCTGCCCCATGCCCCAAGGGAATCCCCACCCTGATCCAGGACACCCTTCAGAGCAAACCAGCTGGCCCCCGCCCATGTACCAGGCCTCTATCCTATCTAATAAATGAATAATATGCATACTGACCATCATTCCAACACACAAGATGGCTGCCCCCATGTGGTCAAAGATCCTGCTCCTATGTGGACACAAGATTGCCATCACAAGATGGCCAGCAGGAGAGGGCACTTGGAAGGAACCAGGCCTGTAAGGGAGGGCAGTTAGGGATGACCAGGTCGGCAGAGGAGGGAAGTTGGGGGCAAACAGGCTAGCAGGGGAGCAGTTAGACATCAATCAGACTGACATGGGAGTGGCTAGGGGTGATCAGGTTGGCAGGTAGAAGTGGTTAGGGGCAATCAGGAAAGCAGGCAGGCAGGCGAGCAGTTGGGAGCCAGCAGTCCTGGATTGTAAGAGGGACATCCCATGAGGGGTCCTAGATTGGAGAGGGTGCAGGCTGGGCTGAGGGACACCCCCCCCCACCCCTGTGCACGAATTTTGTGCACCGGGCCTCTAGTTATTATGTAATAGAGGCCTCTTGCAGGAAGATTCCTGCAATAGGGCTTCCTGCCGTGGTCTCCGCTGCCACGCTTGCTTGTTTCTCTGCAGCTTCACTCCCTCTGCAGCGATTGGCTTTTTTCTATGCTGTCTTCAGTCTTTGCTCTGGCCTAGATATGCAAATTAACCACCATATTGGTTGGGTTAATTTGCATATTTGCCCTGATTGGCTGCTGGGAGTGGCTTGTGGGTGTAGCGAAGGTACGGTCAATTTGCATGTTTCTCTTTTTTTAAAGA